TTTTTTTTTTTAAATTTTTTGTGTTTTTTTTTTTTTCTGGGAGGGATTTTTTTTTTTTCTTCTTCTTTTGTTATTTTTCAAAAAGGCTTGCTTGCCTTGGTACAAAAAATGACCCAAAGCTAGAAAACAAGGATGAACCAACAAAACAGAAATTAAAAAAAAAGAAAAGAAACACAACCCAGTTTCCCCTCCCTCCCCAAACTCAGCAGCTGCCACTGGCCTCTCCAGCCAGGCTCCGGGGCCTTGGGGTTCTGTCCCTTCAATGGTTCCTCTCTGTGCTTACTGGGGGACGAGTCCCAAGCCCACATCTCTGTGCTTCCTCTACTTTGTGCTCCAGATGGGGCCCCCGCCAGCTTTCTCGCCCTCCCCTATCATCCTCTTTCTTGCTCTGGCCCCTCTGCGCCTGCTGGGGACCGGGCCAGGATCAAGCCAGCCTCTCCCATTGCCTCCAGGGCCCGCTCAAACGCCAGTCTGCCCTGTTCAGGACTCCTGCAAGGTATCCATTGACTGGAGTACCAGCTGGTGGCTCTGTCTTGGGGATCCTCAAACACCTCACAGTGGTCACCAGATCCCCAGAGACAAATGACATCTCACCCCTTCCCTGAAAACCCTCAAATCATAAAGGCTGGTTGAAGGTCAAGTTGCCCCCGGCTGAGGGTCAGATTCTTTACTGCACCCACCCCCTTCTCCCCCTGTCCCTCACAACCAGGCCCTTCCCACCCTCCAAACATGTTTCTAGACCCTTCCATGTTGCCCACCCCACCCCATAAAATAAGTTAATGGCATTTAAAGTGCTAAATTAGGAAACTGAAAGTACCAAGTGCCCTTGCTCAGGGCTGCCCTCTCCCAAGGCAGAGCCCCGGGGGCAGGCTGTCCACAGGAGCACCCCTCCAGAACAGGGGGCCTCCTTCTGTCCTTTGCTAGCACCAGCCAGACACTGAGCAACAGTGAGCCGGCTCATCCCCTGGCACCTCGTGTCCCCCTCCCCCCCACACCCCCACACTCAGCCTTGGCCTCTTCTCTGGGGATCCCATCCAGCAGGCCTGCTTACAGGCCCACCCTGGTTGGGGAGGCCAGCAGCAGAGTTCTGTCTCTTCGAAGGCGGGACAGCCAGTGGGGTGTCTCCAAGGCCAGGGTCTCCCATGTCCATTGTCCAGCCTGATGCTGGGTCAGTCCATGTCCGTTTGCTCCTCCAGGAAGGAGGAACCCAGTAACGGGAGGGGAATCTCTCTCCGCTGCGAGTCTCCGTGGCTCAGAGTTTCTTCCAAGTGTTCTTGGGAAGTTAGGGGAGGTGGGAACTTTGGATGGATTTGGGAGGAAGAGGGAGAAAGAGCAGAGGGAGAGAAGATGACAGGAAGTAGGCGGGGCGGGGGCCATTAGGGAACAGGAAGTCAGGGAAGTTGGTGTGTTTGGTTTTTAGTTTTCTCTTTTGCTCTTAAAAAAAAAAGGAGGGAAGAAAAGATAAGAGAGAATCACTTAAAAAACCAAAAACACCAAGAGGAGATGAGAGAGCCGAGGGCCATGGCCCCAAAACCCTTCAGGTGTGAGAGTGGGGAGGGCGGAGTAGGCATGAGAGGAAGTGAGAATGACGGGGAGTGAGGGGGGGCAGGCTGGGGTGGGGGCATGAGGGGGGCTTCTAGAAGGAGATGGAAGAATTCCTTGCCCCAAAGGAAGTCAATACAGGGATGGAGGTTCTGGAACCAGAGGGCTTTTCTGAGACTGGGCTCGAGGTCTCATTCGACCCGCTCATCTCTTTAGATGGTTTAGTGGCCTGGAACAAAAACAGGGTCGGGGTCAGAGAGAGCAAAGGCCAGCCTTCATGCTGGCTCCTGGCTGAAGTGTTGGAAAATGCAAAAACTCCATGAGTCTGAGAGGAAATTAACTGCAAAAGCGAGAGACCAGAGGGGACATCTGGAGAGAGTGGGTCCTCTCAACTGGGAGGACAGGGTGGGGAAGTGGGGGGGGCAGGAAGGGGGGCAGAAAGAAGGGTGAGGGGAAGCATGGGGTTGATCAAAGGCCTGGAAACCAGAGTGGGGGTGGTTTCAGTCCATGGTTACTGAGAGGAGAGACAGAAGAGAGAAGAGACCCAGCCCAGGACAGGCAGAGGGGACAAGGGTGGGAGAGGGGGTAAGGGGGGAGAAGAAGTGAAAAGTTAGCAGCAACAGGGGTGCATCTGAAGCCAGCAGATGGGGGTCAGCAACAGGGGTGCATCTGAAGCCGGGCAGATGGGGGTCAGTAGCTCAGCCCAGCTTCTGGCCTCGGTGGGAGGCCAGTACACACCAGAAGGCCCCTGGTGTGAGCTAGCCCCCACCTGGAAACTCAAAGGAGGCATCCACTAGCATCCCTCCCAGCCCAGAACCCCATTGTAGCCCTCCCTGGTCATGTCCCCCAGCTCTGCATGCTCCTAACAGTAGCTGGAGAGCAGGCTGTATTCCCAGGCTAGCTCTCCCAGTCAGAAGCCCCTGTGTGTGTGTGTGTGTGTGTGTGTGTGTGTGTGTGTGTGTGTGTGTGTGTGTGAGCACACACACACACACACACACACACACCCTCCTTACTTCTATATTGGCCCCTGGGCTGGTCTTTGGAGTCATGGTCTCTCCAAAGTATGGTTTAAGAACCACCTGCATCACCTCCAATGGACAATCCATGGCACGGATCACAAATGCAGGTACCCGGTACCCTTTCCAGGACCATCTCTACTTTGGGGTGGGAATGTGCATTTTAAGCAGGTGTCACTACTGGGTGAGGGTGACACAGACCGGACTGCTCAAACCCTGTAACTAAATCCGATGACTCACCTGGAGTTTAGCTACCAGTGTGATAACTGAAAGGCCTTGATTTAATTAAAAAAAAAGCTGGGTAGTAGGTAACAGCAGCAGCAACAGCAGCCCACACCTTTAATCCCAGCACTCAGGAGGAAGAAGCAGGCAGATCTCTCTGAGTTTGAGGCCAGCCTGGTTTACAGAGCGAGATCCAGGACAGGCAAGGCTACACAAAGAAACCCTGTCTCAAAAAAACAAAAAACAAAACAAAACAACAAAAGAGGCTAAGGCGAGAGTCTGGGCTACATAGTGAGACCCTGTGTCAGCAAACCAAACCAACCAACGAAAGCCACTATGAAGAAAAAGTGAAGGGTGTGGCACACTCCAGTGACCTGCCTGAGGGTCCTGAGATCAACGCTGGGCCTGTCCTTTCCTAAGGACCTACGGGGCCACCCGCAGATAGAAGGCTCTCTCCAGAACTCTGGAGCAGAACACTGCCATCTCAAATGAGCCTTCAGGACACAGGGAGGCTGCCACATGGCTGGTAACTATGTCCTCCTCCCTGGCAGGTGTACGAGTGGCCACCAGAGGTGTATACAGGATTTACCAAGCTTCAGCTGGTAGCCAAGGCTTCCCTTTCAGAAGAGTCAAAGCAAGCTGTGGATTCAGTAGTGTCTCCTCTACTGTGGCCCTCATCGCCAGTCAGGGTCCCACCCCATGGCAATCTTTGTCCATTGCCATGGGCCAGGTATGACCCAGCCCCCCTGGCTCCAGTACCCGGGCCTCAGAACAAACTCGAATCAGGCACCTACGTCCTCTCTGCCAATTGCCTTGGGTTCAGTTCTACCCCCGCCCCCACTTCTGCCTTAGTGTCCCCGTAAGGTTATATAGCTCAGAGGCTGGAGGGACAGCTCGGTGGTTAACAGTGCTTGCTGCTCTTGCAGAGGACCGGGGTGCAGCTCCCAGCACCCACATGGTGGCTCCCAGCCACCTGTAACTCTAGATTGAGGGGTTCTAACGCCCTTTTCTGGCATGTATGGGTTCCTGCACACATGTGGTGCACAGGTGCATACAAACTGACTCCGACTCACAACCGTGCACATTAATAAAAAATGAAGCCTGGTGGTGGTAACACACACCTTTAATCCCAGCACTCAGGAGGCAGGGGCTCTGCAGACCAGGCTGGCCTCGAACTCAAGAGATCCGCTTGCCTCTGCCTTCCGAGTGCTGGGATTAAAGGCATGTGCCACCACACCCAGCTGCATTCACACGTTTATGGGGATGCATGTTTTGGGGAGTTCTTAGGAGCCTGCTTCTACCTGGGATACAATGGTTGTTGCTCCACCCGTGATCCACTAAGGCAAAGGGAATGGGCTTGCAACTCTATGCCGCTCAGAGTTCCCCAGGCTCTGAGGGTTTCTGTACGTCCATGTCACCTGCCAATGGTCCTCCATGAGTTTTATTTTTTTTAAAGATTTATATCATTTTGCCGGGCGGTAGTGGCGCACGCCTTTAATCCCAGCACTCGGGAGGCAGAGCCAGGCGGATCTCTGTGAGTTCGAGGCCTGGGCTACCAAGTGAGTCCCAGAAAAGGCGCAAAGCTACACAGAGAAACCCTGTCTCGAAAAACCAAAAAAAAAAAAAAAAAAGATTTATATTATTTTATGTGTATGTGTGTTTTGCCTGCATGTATGATTGTGCACCACATCTATGCCTGGTGCCCACAGATGTACCCATGGGGCACCAGATCCTCTGTGACTGGAGCTACAGATGGTTGTTCACCACTGTGCGGGCACTGGGAATTGAACCTGGGTCCTCAGTGAGAGTAGCGATTGCTCTTAACCGCTGAGCCACCTCTCCAGCCCCTCCCTCCACCCCATGGGTCTTGATTTTGTTAAAAGTAGCAGAACTTCCCCACCTCTGTGAGGAGACAGAGGCCTCAGAGAGATTCAGCTTTCCTCTGGGAGAAGCAGGACACTTCTGGACACAGAGGCCATGGCAGCACCCTTCCCTTGCTAGACCACACTGCACCAGACACTCATGCTGCTGAGGACACCTGTCCCTCCAGGCTCTGACTCCGAGTCCCCTGTGGGGCTGGTTCAAGCTGGAGCTGCACAGCCCGCTGGCTGCCTTAGCTAGGCCATTCTGGTGCTACCCAGGGACGAACAGGAACCGGACTCTGTGCTGTTAGCCCGACTCTCTCCCCCTCGGGTGCTCATAGCTGCAGTTAGTACTAGTCCCTGGTCTCTCTGTTCCCTCAGTACTCTGGTGGTTCCCTCGTGTGAGGCATTAAGAGACAAAGTAAGTGGCTGGCTTAAAAGAGGGGTCCGTGGCTTCGCACGGACACCAAGCCCCGGATTCCTCGGCTCTAGGAATGCAGTTCCCACCCCACCCACCTTAGGTCCGACGCACAGCGGCGCCTCTGTCATGTCCACTGCCATGCCCAGCCCTCTTGGAATTTCCTTTCTGCACCTGCGTCCCTGGTCCCCACCACTTCCAATTCTCTTCATCTCACCAGGTATGAGAGCTCCGAGGGTAGGCTTAGTGCCTCGGGCCTGTCATCCGACCTACTCAGGATGCTGAGGCAGAATCCACAGGTCAAGGTCTGCCTGGGAAACTGAGTGAGACCTTGTCACTCGCTGAGGTGGACGGAGCATGTGTGCACGCCGGAGCAGGGCCTAACAGGACCCGTGGTGTGGACGGAGCAGCCGGTGAAGGGCCCAGGGCAGCAGTGAAGGGATTCAGTCTGGGGTTTGAGGGTGTAGATTTAAAACTGCTATGTGTGTGAGTTATCATCAAATCTGCACTTTAGAAAGTCCTCACAGGTCTTAGAAAATTGGTGAGAGGTGACGACAGTAGTCGCAGATGACCTTAGAAGACCATGAATTTAGGTGGCGACACCGCCTGGTTTGGTTTCCGTTTTGTTTTTACAGTCCTGGGGGATCCACCCTGGGGCTCACCCCTAGCAGGCAGGCAGCCCTCCGCTGAGCCCAGCCTCCCCATATCTGCCACCTTACTGTTTTCCTTACTTAACAAGTCTCCTAAGAAACACGTAAGGCTTTGTCAGAAAGAGAATGTGTTTTGAAAGGACAGACCCTGCTCCAGCACAAGGGGCGGGAACGGCTGGCCAAGGGCAGCAGGGTGGGAAAGAGGCCCGTCCTTGGGTGGGGGGGGGCAGGGAGGGACCAGCGGCCCCCAGCAGCTGTGGGGTTTGGGGGCTGGGTGGTGGCCGTGAGGGAACTACAGCTGGAGAAGCCACAGGCTGGAAGGGCTGTCATGTCCAGACAGTGGAGGAGCTGGAGAGCCACCGACAGAGAAGGGGCGGAGGTGAGGAGCCCACCACAGTAGAGGGTAAAGTAGGAAGAGAAAGGAGCCAGGTATGTGACAGTGGCCTGGCTGTGACCTCTGTCCCCTCACTGATTGTCAGGGTTGATTTGGCTGGTCTGTCTGGCTAGGTGGGTACCCCTCCTTCCTCAGAGCTCCATGTGCACCCCTCCCAAGGCTGCGTGGTTGGTCCAAGAGGACAACCTTCCCCTTTTCCTCCAGAGAAGACCATCCTTGGGCCAAGGGCATACACGGAGATGCACTCTCCAGCTCAAACCTTCAAACAAGCTTTTGAGGTTCGTAAAGGAACCAGGGAGGGCTGATGGGAGAGCTGGGGGTGGGGGAGTACCAAGCCAGGCATAGATAGATATGGGGGGGGGTCTAGACAGCCACATGACCCAGAAGTAGGGAGAGAGAGCAAAGAGCCTGCCTGCATGGCCCTGGGAGGCCTGGCCACACCCTGGGGAGAGGTAGGAAGGCTGTGGAGGGTGAGGCCCAGAATGTCCAAAGCTGACCCACAGAACAACAGGTATCAGGACGGGGCTTCAGGAGAGCTAGAACACAGGCTGGGGGTGGCGATGGCGATGGCGATGTGGAACTGTAGTGGGGGGTACTGACTGGCCCGGAGCAGGCGTGTACATGGCGGAGGCCTGTCAAATGGTGTGGATTTTCATCCCGTCTGGCTCTTCACCTCTCCAGCTGAGGTGAGGTCCTACCTCCGACGGCTATGAACACAGACACTGCATGTGCCCGGCACAAGGAAACACCCACAGCCACCAGCTGTTTTTCTGGGCACGAATGAGGGGACTCCACTACCACGACAAGACAAGGGGTACCCACTGTAGTAGCAGACAAGAACTGAGAAGCTGGGTCTCACCAGATGGGCCTGGGGCTCATGAGGAAGTGGGGGCTGGTCAAGAAAGGCTGGGGGAGGGCTGACTGCTTGTCTTCCCAGGAGCCAGCAAGTAGAGAAGGTTGTGTGTGCCAGGGCTATCTGGGGCCTGTGGTGGGAAGGGGTTTCAGGTAGCTGGGTCAGTCTTGGCTCTAATGCCACTGCTGTGCGGGTTGGGAAGTTTCTCTCCTGCTACAAGCTGAACTGCATAGGCAGCCTCGGCTGTCCCTAACTTTCCACTTCTGAGCTTAGGGTCTCCCACTGGACAGAGCAAGGCCTACCTGGGACCTCAAAGGGGCCTGGCACATAGGAGCTACTCAGGAGAGGTTCTGAACTGAGCAAGCGCACACTGAAGGGCTCTCAGCAGCTACATCCAGGGCCCCCCTCTACTCTCTGACCGGGCAGACCCCACAAGCAGGCCCCAGGGTCACAAGGACCATGGGTAAAGTCTGTCAACTCCAGACCTTCAGAGGGAGCCCAAAGGGATTGCTGCAGGATTCCGACCACACCTCATCTGCCTTACCAAGTCAGCTGGGCCCACCAACCTGTGACTGAAAAGCAGGTGCCAAAGCAGCTTCTTCCTGAGCTGAGAGAGAATGGAAGGGCAGAGCAGGTGGCGGCCACGCACAGGAGCAAAGGTGGGCAGGAGGGTAAGACGGCTGTGGCACAGGCTGGCATTAGAAGCGACCCAGCCACTGAGGAGGGAGGTGAAACCGCCCCGGGCAGGCACTGCACAGGCAGGGAGCGAGGCTCCTCTGTCCTTGAGCAGGAAACTGGCTGGGAATTCGGGGACTCCTGTCTAAACCAGATCCAAGGCACCGGGGCTGTAAGGAGGAACAAGATGGAGGTCGGGGCATCATGGGGGAGGGACCCACAGTAACTGAAACCATCACCGGAGCAGTGGGGCACAGTGGGGGCTTGGCATACGACCCTCCAGGGGCCTGGGTGTCCCGTATCCCACCCTCACCTGCTGCTGAGCCTGGATCCTCACGTACTCCGACCTCTGCTTGCTGTGTTTGCCTTTGTCCGGGCTGCCTGCTGGGCCCTGGGTCGCCGCCTTCAGCCGAGACGCTCCCGGAGTCACCACCTTCATGGGTGGCACACTGCCACCACCACTCTGTGGAAAGAGAAACAGGGCTGGGGTGGGGCAGTTCTGCGTGGCACTCTAGGGCTGGGTGGAGTCTCTGGGGTTAGGACCTCCACAGGGAGGCCCTTGGAGGCCTGGAGATCCCTTCCCTGACTCCACATCAGCATCCAAGCCTCAAGTCCCTCTGAGCCCAGGTTCAAGGCCTCCCTGCAGGAGATGATCAGGCTAGGCCTTGTCCTGAGTGAGAGCTCATTTGTGACTTTTCTGAGTGGCCCAGGGGCAGCTGGTACCCTCCTAGGAAGCTACTTTTACATGGAAGGCCCCAGTACCACTCAACGCCCAGCCAAGGACAACATCCTGGTCCAGGAGACAGAGCTGGAATTGGGGTCTCTAAGAAGAGAACATCTCCAGGTCCACACCACCCCCAGAGCGGAAGGCAAAAGGTGAAATATCCACCCCACCCCCCCGAGATGGGCACATCTGGCCCCCTGTCCACCCCTGTCATGTAACAGCCCTTCCCAGAGAGACTCTGGGGACCCCGAGGCGCGAGCGTGAAACAGCTGACAGAAAGACTCAGAGACAGGAGGGGAGGAAGGGGTGGAGAAGAGGAGAAAGCTTTATTCTCTGGCTTACAGAGAGCAGGCAGGGACAGAGCCCACCTGGTTCCCGCCCCAGCAGCAGAGCTGAGTCCTGGGTGGGCCGGCTTCCCGGCCGCCCCTGGCTCTGCCCATAGGCCCTGGCCTGGAAACGGGCTCCCGGAGGGTGGGAGGCTGAAACAAAAGACAGTGGGAATGAGGGAGGGGGGCAGAGCTCCTGGGGTCTCACTCTCTCTGCCCGGAGACTGGAGAAGGAAGGCAGCGGGGGAGAAGCGGGAGGCAGCCACCTGGGGGCGTGGGGGTGGGGGCTGGGGGCTGTTGCTCGGACACTTCATAGTGTTGGCGCCCATCCCGCTCAGGGTGGCTTCTAGCTCCTGGAGCGTCTCCTCCAGGCTGTCCATGCGCAGCAGCGGGGTAGCATCCTGTCCTGTGCTGCCGGAGCTGGTGGCCCGCTGAGCTCTGCTACAAGCTTGAGTGTCACATTCAGATCGTTGAGGGGTCTCCTCTGAGTGGGTCTCAGCAGTAAAAGGCTTCTGAGCTTCATCTGGGGATGGTCCCCAAGGACAGAGAACTCCGGCTTCTGCTTTGTGCGGGCTCTGTAGAACCGCTGTTTTATTTCTGGATAGAGAGCTGCTCCTGGGCCAGAGTGCTTCAGCAGTTAATCCTGGCAAGGCCTCTGGGTCATTCCAAGCCCTTCCACTGTCGGCCAGGGTCCGGGGTCTCGGTGTGGGGACTGTCCTGGGACCCAGTTCCTCTAAGCTGGTCTCTGACAGAGAGGGAGAGCTGGAGGCGCATTCTGTCAAGATGATCTGAGGGATACAGAGGACCCTGGGACCTGAGGTAGCCTGGGGGACAGAAAACGAGAAGGACTGTGATCCCTGCGGACTGAATCCTGAGCTGGAATGAGCCCACTTCCTTCCTCTCCCAGATGGGGAAACTGAGTCAGGGAACGTCCTGATGATGTCACCCAATAAAGGGGAGGCAAAGCTGAGCCTAGAGTGCTGGTGTCTTTCCATCCCACACAACCTACAGTCTCCTGCTTCCTCGGATCACTGCCAGCTGCGGAAGTATGGGGGTGCGTTCCTTTCCCATCACCCAGGTAAACTTGGGAGTAAATCTCAGGCTTCATCCCATGCACAATGAGACAGTAACATGGGGTGCGCAGCAAAGTAAATGAGTCCATGAGGACACTCTATTAAGTGCCTGGCATCATTTGAGCAAACATAAGCTACTGGCTGAACCGAGCCAAATAAGCGAGATCTTCTACAGAGAGCGGATGCTGGCTTCCACCTCAAGGAGGGGCCATCGTCCTCATCCTGGGCTCTGGACTCACACCTGTGAGGCCTCCCTCGGAGAACTCAGCTATAAAGGGGAGGAGTCTGGCCATGGCCAGTCCCTGGGTCTCACACACGGGGCAATGCTGCAGTTAGGCACCTGTTTCTGTGTGAGCACCTTGGCTACAGCTCGGGGCTAGACTCAGAGGCCTCAGGGACCCTGCGACCTGAGTGAATTCTGCTCTAACTGTATCAGCCCGTGTCAGACACTATGGCTTCTCTTCAGTGCTTTCTGCAACCCCTGAAGTGCCTGTCACTCTCCTTGTCCCCGATTCACAGGTCAGGAGCATTATGACTCAGATCTCGTCCAACCCTCGGCTAGCTAGTGGTAGAGCCCGGATCTGGACCCAGATAGCCTAGGTTCAAGTCCAGCGCTCTTTGCACTAAACAAACTGGGGGAGACCCCTCCTACACCTCCCAAGGCCACCCACCCAGCCCCGCCACTGCTTACCTGGAAGTAGGGTGCACACAGGGACGGCCGAGAGGGCCCCCCAGCTCGCCAGGCTCCTCTGCCTGACAGCGCCTCAGGATGCAGAGAGGCAGCCAGGAAAGGGGGCTTGCCTGCGGGGTCCCCTCAGGACTGAGCCCCAGAAAGGGGCAGAGCTGGGTGCTGAGGACAAAACCAGTCAGGAAGTGCCCCTCTCACACCGCTCAGCCCCTGAGGACGGCTGGGGTAGACTGCAGACAGCGCTGTCCACCTTCCAATGCCTGTCTGCACCCCCGCCAGAAAACCAAAGGCCACCAGGCCTCAAGCCAGGCCACAGTGCTGGTGGCTGCCACCATGGACCCCACTGTGGGCTGGGGAAAACCACACGAGGAAGGGGAGGGGTGTGTGTGCGTGGGAAATTGAGGACAGAGGTCCTCTTACCCCAACCTGGCTGGGCAGAGGGAGAGCTCCCCCAGACCTTTCCACACCCCACTCCTCAAGCACAGTCCCCTGGACTGCAGACAGCAGGCCCACCCCCAACCATCCCAAGAGGAAGTAAATACAGCAGAAGAGCAGCAAAGGCTGGGTTAGGAGAAGGAAGAACTTCTCAGTGCTGAAAGAGAAACCCAGCAGCCAAGGAAGACCACAGGCTTCTCTCATTCCAGGCTCCCTGACCAAGGCCGCAGGAATGGCCATGGGGCAGGGAGAGGCGTAGGGAAGCCATCCCCCTGGTCTGTCCTGAGCACCCCAGTGTAAGGCACAGATTTCAGTGAGAGAAGCAGAGCCCCTTCCTGGCAAGAGCAGCAGAGCAGGGCATAAGGGAGGGACCAGGCAAGGTCTCAGGACAAGGTCAGATCCAGCTAGACTCTAAGTCATTTCCCGAACAAGATCCAAATGCCAATCTCGGCCCAAGACAGCTCACAGGCTTTGGACCCAGCCTAAACTCAGGCTGTACATGAGAACAAAACATCCAAGAGCCAGATAGAATCAGGTCTGGAAGCGAACTTAAGGGTCACACCAGACACCCAAGCTGCAGTCTCCAGGGAAGACCCCCCCCCCCCCCCCGGAAGCCTCAGGAAGGGACACGTTGTGCAGTTGTACGCTGCCCTTGGCATGTGCAGGAGACCACGGGCGTGAAGCTGGGGCAGTGGCAGAGGGGCTGGCGTGGATGGCGTGTTAGCGGGTTAGCGTGAGGGGGCGGAAAAGGAAGCTGTGGAGGAACAGGCAGAGAGAGCCGTGAGAGGTGCGGGGAAGGCCGGGGAGGCCTGTTACCTTCCATGGGGAGCCCAGAGCTGAGCCCCCAGGGGACCCCAGGTCCTGGGGGGACAGCAAGGTGGGGATCGGCTGGCGACGGGGCGTAGGGGGAAGGGAAGATACTGAACTTCTTTCAAACACCTGGGGAGCAGAAGGCAGGGGCAGGTTTGGAGGATGGGGCTCCAGTGAGGACCCAGGTGCTGGCTGAGTACCTAGGTACCTGCGGAGAGTGGCCCGGGATGGCACGGGCCCCGGTCTCACCCTTGGCACCTCACCATGGTCACTGACCCACTGGGCAGTCTCTCGAGTGTCTCCTCCACAGGGCCCTGATATGCAGGGACTCTGGTGCGGGGCAAAGATTTCTGGGAACCCTATAAGCTGTGTCTTGTAATAATGCTAGGCCCTTTAGCATGAGGGTCTCCAAGAGTCTGGTCCCCGAATACTGAGGCACGAGGGTTTTGGAACATGAGCTGTCCTCAAGATTACTTGGGTAGGGTCTCAGTAAGCTCGCAATATGCAGGTTTGGGGCTTTCAAACTATAATGGGTCTTTGGGTCCTTGAGGGAGGAGCTGAGAGATTATAATGAAAACTCAAACCTACCAGGAGGAACTTTAGACTCTCCCTCTATTTCACAGTGGTGAAGAAATGGAAGCTTAGAAGAATGGGTCCCAGGGCTAGCCCTCTCCTGCCTGCCCAGGGCCTGCTGCCCAGCCCTGAGGAAGGCTTGGCAGGGAACTTGGCCTGGCTGAGGCCTTGTTCAGTCACGCCTGACCCACCTCCAGCTCGGCGATGATGCGCTCCTCATCATCTTCATCCTTGATGGCAGAGGCCATGATGGGTGGTGTGGAGGCAGGGCGGGTCACCTCAGACACAGCCCGGCGTAGCTTCACCTGGGGCTTCTGGACCTCCAGCTCCTCAGACTCGGCCTTCTGTGAAGCCCGGGGGTCTTATCAAGCCCAAGTCCTTCCCTCCCTCCATCAGGGACTCACCCCCCACCCCGGCCGCACCAACCAGGCTTCACCAGTTCCCTGCCAGGAAGACCCACCCCTGACCCTGCCAGAGCCTGCTGTGGGACTAGAACACACACAGCCCTAAATTCCAAGCTAGAAGTCAAGTTGGGTTGCACCGGCTGACCCCCTCCTCTCAGAGGTCATCTCTCAAGCTTAAAGCACCCCTGAACCCCACCAATTGGAAGTGTATACCTTAATGAAGGCCGAATCTTTCTTGCTGGTGACCACCACCTCTCCAGTGCGAGTGGTGGTCAGGCCGTGGGAGGAAGGGAAACTCCGGCGGGGAGGGGGTGGCGGGGGCGACTTGGAGGGCTTCTCTGTGCGGTATCGGGGCACCGTGAGCTCATCTGTAAGCGGTGGGGATCTGGAGTCAGGGACCCCCCACAACAGTGTCCCCGAGTACTCGTGCCCCCAGGAATGACCAAGAGGACGGCTCAGGGGAGAGGAAGAGGAGGCAGGACCCCTCTCTTTCCCTTTTCCCATGCGGCCCCCGGCTCATCCAGCTCCACTTTCTCCAACAGCACTCAGCTGCTCAGTGCGGTCTGGGAGCCAGGAAGACTGCAGCACCCGACAGGCGCCCTGCCCTGAGCCGCTGACCCAGCATGGGCATCCTAACGTCCCCGGAGGTTCACGGCCACATCCAAGCCTGGGACTTTGTGCCGCTCTGGTCTGTCTCGTGGCCACAGCTGTTCCTCGGCCCCACCAGACTCAGAGTTTCAGCCTTTCTCTGAAGAGCCTGGTCCCACTCACCATCCCCCTTCCTCCAGCCCGGTTTCCATGGCAACCTACTAAAAGGTCACTCAAACCATAACACCCTCGCCTTTGATTCTCCCGTGGCTTTCCACCAACCCAAATAGTCCTAGTTCCTAGTCCAGCACCTTCCACCACCTCTCAGCCATGCTCTGTCTGCTCTAAGGCCCAGGGTGAACCCTGCTCCGGCCAAGCGGCACCTCCCTGGCCCTTGCCACTCTGGCCCCCGGAAGGTGCACTCATGGCTGGGAAGTGCCTGCTTGCTCCTAAGGCTCCACTGGAAAGCACTCTCCTCCCTTCTAGAACAGCACAGCTCCAGCCAGCTCGGGAGCCACACTTAACCCCTTTGTTCTAGGGACACATTAAATGTGGCCTGGGACAGATTACGTAACCATTTGGAGTCTGTCCTCTTTGTGAGGAGGGAAAGACTGTCTGCCTTCTTCAGCTGCTGCAAAGTCGTCAGGACTGACCCCCAGAAGGCATCATGTAGTAAGCGCCCGACAAATGTCACAGCCTGTCCCACCGCTACATCCTAAGCACAGCCTGTAGAGACCGCTCAGAGGTTAAAGGTGCCTGCTGCACAAACCCGATGACCTGAATTTGATCCCCTATCAGAAGGAGAAAATTAATTCCCACAAGGGGTCCTCTGACATGTATGCACTTTCACACACACACACACACACACACACACACACACACACACACACACACACTAAGATAATTAAAAATCTTTTAAATAAAAAAAAATTCTGGGGCTGGAGAGATGGCTCAGTAATTAAAAGCACTGGCTGCTCTCCCAGACCCAGGTTTGACGCCCAGCACCCTTGTGGCGGATCACAGCCATCTCTAACTCCAGTTCTAGGGGATCCAACACTCTCGGGCCTCCTCAGGCACCAGGCACACACGTGATGCACAGACAATACATACAGGCAAAACATCCACACACGTAAAAATATAAATTCTGAGCTCTCTGGAGCACCTTTCACAGTCAGCGTCGCCGGAAGGAACGCATGAACCATGATGGCTGTCCCTCTTGTTCAGTCCTGCAGGCTGGGGATGACATTCTGGTCAGGGCCCTGTCATACTGCTCAGCACTGCACTGCTCAGAGCAGACTGCCTCTTCCCTCTGTCTCTCTGTCTCTGTCTCTCTGTCTTTCTGTCTCTCTCTCAGGCATCACTCTCCTTGGATGTTTCCCTTGCACGAGCCTTCCAGAAATAATGGGGAGAAAACCTGATGGACTCCAGTTTACCCTGTCCTTCTGTGTCCTGGTCCCTCCCGTGATGGCTACTGGCTAGCACCCCATTTCTCCAGCAGCCCGGCTACCATGATGCTCACTCCTAGTACCTCCCCTATAAGCCATGCTCTGAGGATGGGACCTTAAATCCCCATACCTGAACCTCTTCTCCCGCTGGGCTCTGTCCGGGGGGCTGCCTTCTGACCATGGGGTGCCTTGGGGGGCTTGTGGTCTGGGGTGGGGGTGGGTCCCGGGTGGGCCTTGCTGGCACAGTCCAGGTCAGGGATGGCCTTGAGCAGCTCAGCCTGAGTCTCCTCCAGCAGCCGGTTGATGTCCTTGGCACTGTACTGGGTCAGGGCTGCCCGCTTCTCTTCCCAATCTCTCTCTGCAGCCTTGAGAGAGGAAGCAGAGCTGGGGTCAGGACTCCTGCCCATGACGCCCTGGGCTCTGGCAATCCGCCCCTTCCCCAGCCACATGCACTAAGAAGAGAACGTCATGGAATTTAACACCCCCCACTGGGTGCTACACACTGTCCCTGTAGCTTAGAGAGACCACTTTCATTAAATACAATATAGGTTTATTCCTGGATGTTCCATTCTGTTTCATTGGCCACCCAGTCTGTGTTTATACAAGCACCATATTGCTTTAGTTATCATTTTATAGTATACTTTCTATGGAGAAGCGTAAATGTCACCAATATTATGCTTTTCAGACTTCTCTGATCCTCCTCCTAAAGGGCCCACGTGTGTTCCTTCGGTACCTGCCATTCCAGGTGGCAGCAAGAACTGTGAGCCTAGCTTGTGCCCCGCCCTGGCCCATCACCTCAACAGACACAGCTTTGTCCACGCTTCTCTTCCCGGGAGCATCCAGGCCTTTGGTGGGGTTACTGCTCTTTGGGGTAAGAGGGGCTCCGTCAGCAGGCCCACTCAGCTCGTGGAGGTTCAGTGGAGGACTCGGGGGTGGCATTTCGAAGTCCAAGCCTTTGCTGAAGTCTGTTTCAGCTGCCACCTTCTTGGGAGACTGGCTCAGGAGATTATTGGGGGGTGGCCACACACCCTCATCCACTTGCCTAGGGTTGGGAGAGTTAGGAACAGAGAGTGAGGGATGGGAGCCTCTGGAGGGGACCCTGCAGATGTGAGGGGGGCTCTGTGATCTCACAGGAGAGAGGGGAGAGCCTAAGATGGGGTGTGAGGGAGAGCCGAGGCATTTGCATGCAGGGGTCACAGGTCAAAGTTGAAGAGATCTTGCTGGCACAGAGTGACCTCCACGGAGTAAGGATAAGGGTCAGGTGTTCCTATGGGTCTGGGCCGGGTGTGCAACGCCATGGGAAAGAGACCAAGGAGAGAGTGACCTGCGGATCTGCGCCAGCGTGTCCGTGACCCCCCGGCAGCGCTTGAGAAGTCCGTCGAGGCGCTGAGGCTCCTCCTTCAGGAACTTCACCGCTTCCACCTCCACACGCAGCACCACCCGCATCTTACTCTGCAGGCCTGGGAAGTGGGCTGAGAGGGCAGGAGGAGTCAGCTGGCTGGGAGGGAGCACCGGGGAGTTGGCACACTGCAGGGGAGCACAGCGGGGACCCCCTCAGGGTCACCCTTGCCAGGGCAGGCTCACCCTTGAGCTCTGTTAGCGTCTCCCCCAGCTGCTTCAGCACCAGCGCCTTCTCTTCCAGCTCAGGACCGGGCACCAGCCGGTGGTTATGGGCCACATCCCTCTGGATCTTCTCCACTGACTTCTCCAGGTCACTGCAGGCACAGAGAGACCCTTCTCAGCCCCTCTGGCCCCAGCCTAGCCCCCTGAAATTGAGCAGCTGGAAAGAAATTATGCCACCAATCAGATCAAAATTAAAAGCTATAGCCAGGTGTAATGGCGTACTCCTGTAATCCTAGCACTTAGAAGCCTGAGGCAGGAGGATTGTTGAAAGTTTGAGGCCAGCCTGGGCTACATAGTAAGACTCCCCCCACTCAAACAAAACATAACATTAAAAAAATTCACAAAGTCAAAAGCCATCCACCAGGCTACAAACCCAAGGGAAATCAGAAACGCTAGACCTCAAAGATGGAATTTCCACACAGTTCCTTAAGAGGTACCCAGTCCTCCCCACAAGCCCTAATCTAGGGGAACACCAGCTTGTACCTCTTTCCCTGTAATGTGCAATCTCAGACTCCAACTCTTCCATCCACAGAAGCAGTGAGAACATGGAGGCCACACAGAGCCTTGCAGAAGCCTAAAGGCAGCTGTGTACGTCTGAGGGCACAGTCATGTCCATTACCTTTTGTCAAATGATCCTGCCACAGAGCCTTTCACCTTGAGGCCAAAACCGCCTCAGGTTTTCAGCCAGTTTATCGTAAACACTATGATCTCATATCTTCCTAAAATGTAAATCAGGAGCCGAGCACAGCAGCACAAATGTGTAACCCTAGCACTTGGAAGGCTGGGGGAACAGGATCCCAAGTTCAAGGCCAGCCTGGGCTACAGCTGTCTCAAAACAAACAAACAAACAAACACACCAAAAACCCAACAAAAGCAAACCAAGTCTTCACTATCTGTGTTAATTCCTTTCTTTCTTTTCCTTTTAGTCTTTTTTTCGGTTTTTCAAGACAGGATTTCTCTGTGTAGCTTTGCGCCTTTCCTGGATCTTGCTCTGTAGACCAGGCTGGCCTCGAACTCACAGAGATCTGCCTGCCTCTGCCTCCCAAGTGCTGGGATTAAAAGCGTGTGCCACCACCGCCCGGCTGTGTTAATTTCTTAATGTGTGGGTGGGAGGGGGGCCAAGGATGCCTCAGTGGGAACAGTGCCTGCTGCAAGCATGAGAAGCTGAGTTCAGATGCCCAACACCCATCCAAAAGGGGACAGAGACAGACCAGTCCTGGGGGCTCACTGGCCAGTTCCAGTGCCTCCAAAATTAAGGTGGAGAGGTTGGAGAGATGTTTTAGCAGTTAATGAACACTTGTTGCTTTTGCAGAGGACCTGGGTTCAGTTCCTAGCACCCACATGGTGGTTCAGAATCCTAACTCCAGTTGCAGGGGATTCAACACCCTCTTCTGACCTCCCTGAACACCAGGCATGCACACGGTGCACATACATGTAAGCAAACATACGCATAGAATAAAATACATAGATCTTTTAAAAAAGTGGAAAGTAATAGACGTGATATCAACCTCTCACATTCATGTGTGCGCCCACAGACATGTGTGCACCCACAGCCACATATGTATACCACACCAGCACAATCTATACATAATAGATAAATAAAAATGAAACCCTAAGTGAAACCATCATCCTGAGGCTAAATCCCAAACTTAGCTCTACAGTCGGTGAGCTCTGAGTCTTTTCCCTTCTCTGTTGTCCCAGCAGAAAGCTCTTGCACAATCACCTAATGTCCCTGGGCTCTCTGGGCCTCAATCTTCTCACTCAAGAGGAGTGTGCCGGGGCTGGTGAGCTGGCTCAGCAAGGAGGCACACTTGCTGCCAAGCCTGAAGACCTGACTTCTATCCCGAAGACCCACATGGTACTGGACACGCACACTGCGGCACTCACATACACAACCCAATAAATAAATGAATGAATGAATGAATGAATAAATAGATGAATGTAACTTTTTTACAGGGTATCAAAAGTTCCTGGCTGGCCTGGAACTCACTGTATAGACTCATGTGGTCCTCCTGAATGGAAAGTACCACTATACCCAGTCTAAAAAGGAAAAAAAATTAGGAAAAGAAATGGGTCTGCTAGGCATGTCTCCCTCGTGGCTACTGTGAGGACTAAAGCAGCCAGTGGTCCCTGGAGACGATCTCTCTCTCTCTCTCTCTCTCTCCCCACACAACTTTCCCTCCTTACTTCTGCTTAGATCATTCAGAAGTTCTCCAAAGTCCTTACAAGCGCTGCTCTCTCTGGCCCTTTAGAACACCACAGAGTACTCAGCTTCGAGTAATCCATTTCCCTGCACGCACACACTAACTGCCATGTTAATTTCATCTCAGGTCTCAAGAAGAAGCCCTTCCCGTCTCCTCACTCAGGGTTGGGAGTCTTCTGCCTCCCAAATGCGAGGCTCCTCTTTGCTGGCTTGGGGACTTTCTGTACTCACTAGCTCAAAGCAGGCAAGAACAGTGTCTTCTCTTGTATATTAGAAGGGCCGGCCTTAATATTATACTTGCCAGGGGCTCAGGAAAGAAAACTAAGAACGGCGAGAATTATTTTCGGGAAATGAATCTAAGTACACCAAGCTCTTAGTCCATCTTCTTTATTTCTCTGGGATAAAATCCTACCTACACAGCTCCATTCTTGCCTGATTGCTCTCTACCTTTACCTACTGCTCCCTCTAGGTTCTATCTTAATGCTCTCGTCTTAATTCTGCCTCACCTAGGTCCTTCTCATCTTGTTCTTACCCTGCTAGGACTTCCCCATCTGACTCTTCCTCACCTTCCATCTCATCCACATGTTCTCTCTGGTCAAAATCCTCCTTATCCCTCTCAGTTCTCCGACCTCAAGTTCTGCCCTCCTCTCTTCCTCTCTGTCTCCTCATACCTCTAAGTTCCATCTTCTCTCTCTGAAAATAAAACTGCCTTTTTGTCCCTTTGACCCCTATCTCTCCAAGCTATCTCTGCTCCCGCTGTTTCTGGCGAGTGTGCTTCGTCGCTAGGCAACTAGGCCAGGCAACTTATATCACAGCTAGATGTACCTGCAAGTTGGAACCCTTTAGTTCTGAGTTAATTGTTAAGGGTGGGTCTAAAGCTAGAGATAAGACTTTGGAAAGGAGAAAGATAAGCTTAACTGGCACATCCAACAGACCTTCTCAAACAGGTAGTCTGTTCTTAGAGAGTGCAGAGGTATCTCTGATAAGGTACTCTCCTCCATCTGGGGATGGACCTGGCCAGATGCTGCTAATGACGATAATTATAGGGAGGCTTGAACTGGTGGGGTTCTGGCTGTGCATAGCTGTCAGCGCAGGAGATTATCTAAATATTTCTAGAAGTGGTTACATAAGGAGTTAGAGGTCTATAAAGTCAGTAAGGCTGTAAGAAAGGAGGGTCCGAGCTAAATTGTGCGAAGCTATTACTTAATATTACTCATTACACCTGACCTAGGCGGTGTCTCCTTATGAAATTTTCCTTAAATCGGGAGAGTAGCATGTGGTGGTCTGGACTGTTATTTCTGTTAGTCCTTGAAAGTGGCTAAGGGAGATATCTGATTCCAGGGGAAGCCTTTCCTGAGGCAGTTCTCCAAATACCTGGAATGTGTATGTCCAGAGAGTGATCAGTCCACATTGTTAGCAATTCTTAGGGAAAAATCAATTGTGAAAACTATGAAGACGCACATGATTTTCATAACAGAAGACAGCTGATATATAACGAGCCAAGTAACACCAAAAACTCCTTGGGATTTGGCTTCCTCTGAAGGAATTCCCTGATTCCTCCAGGTAGTGACTTTGCCATAACCAGCTGAGTTCTTATGATATATTCCTGCGGCCTGCAGCACTCCTTTTCAGTTTCATCTCTGGAAAGCACGAAGCTCGGTGCCTGGTTTGCAGCAGACACACAGTCAGTAATTGTGGGAAGGGGCTGGAGAGATGGCTCTGTGGTTTTGAGCACACAGGGCTCTTGCAGAGGACCTAAGCTGGATTCCCAGCACCCACATCAGTGGGTTCTGACACCTCTGGCCTCTGTGGGAACCAGGACACACATGCATATACCCACATACAGACACAGATGTTATATTTTTTAAAATAATTTTTATAAGTTAAATATTTTTAAATTGTCAGATGAAGTGAGAAAGAGCTGCTATGGGTAGGTAAGTCATCTCAGTCCTGGACTTGGATCAGTGGCATTCCTTACTCACATGCAGGACTTTATACACAGTTCTGGCAAGTTCCACCCGCTGGATTTCAACTCAACAGGGCAGGTGCAAATGACTTGAATCTGTTCTACCATCTGATCTGTCTGCTGTCTGCTCTCTCTCTCTCTCTCTCTCTCTCTCAAAGTTCAGTGTCATCAACCCAGCTCATCAACATGCCTTAGACATCGTCATCCAACCAGCAGGTGAAAAGACCGACCAGGGCAGAACCAAGGGCAAAACCCCAAGATTCAGCACCACTGGTTAAAGAACTACTTTGCATTAAACACTTCCTGTTCATCAGGAGCCACATCAGTCCTGTACATCCATTTCCTCATTTTAACCTTAAAACGGGTCCTGGAGGTAGGAACATTACTTCCAGTTGGCACATGGGCAAACAGCGGTTCAAAAACTAAACTACATTTCCCAGCTTTCCTTGCAATTAGAAGTGGGCATTCAACTGTGGCCTATCCAGTGAAATGGGGATGGAAAGGACACACGCTGTTCCCAGATCTAGTCCATAAAGGCCTCCTATGCAAGCCCCCTCCACAGCCTTTCCCTTTCTGGTTGGTTATGAAGACCATGATCTTCTGGGTGATTTTGGAAGGCACGGGCTGAACATGGCAGAAACTCTATCAGCCTGGATCCCTGACTGACTGCCTATGAGAGAGAAATTTGCTAACCCATCTATCTTTTTTTTTTTTTTTTAAAGAAAAATGTATTCACTGAGCTTTAGGTGTGTAAGTATTTTGCCTGCATGTATGAGTACTGTGTGCAGGCCTGGTGCCCACAGAGGCCAGAAGTATACATCAGAATCTCTGAAACTGGAGTTACAGATGGTTGTAGGCCACTATGTGGGTGCTAGGAACTGAACCTGGGTCTTTTTTCACTACAAGAACAGTAAGTGTTCTTAACCCCGGAGTCAGCTCTGTCCCCTTTAATTAAGTTTTTGAGACAGGATCTCAATATATCCCAGGCTGGCTGAAGATATGCAGCCGAGGATGACCTAGAACTGATGATGGTTTTGCCTCTACCTCCCAAGTGCTAGGATTATAGGCTTACACCATCACACCCAGTTTAATGTCTTTGACTTTAGAACCATTAAATGATTTGGGAGCTTTTTGTTGTAGCAGCTGCCTTAAATAAATAAGGGATCCTAACTGAGGTTTGGCCTTCAAAAAGGGGGGTGGCAGAGGCTCTGAAATGAACTAGTTCAAGGTCACACAACTATTCTGTGGCATAGCAGTATCTGCTCGTGTGGAACTTCAGCCACCGGCTCCCGTGTGTCTCCCTTCCAAACCGAATGATGTCACCTACCCGCTGTCCCACCCAGCCCTGGCTCTACCACATGGGAAAAACCAGGCCTTTCCCACAGCCAGCGATGGGTCAGCAGACACTCAGGAGTCAACAGGCTTCAGTCAGCGGAACAATATCCAGAGAGAGCCCAAGCCTTTGGCTAGACAGACAGGTGAGTGAGCCCAGCAGGAACAAAACCAAAACCCAGCCTCAGCTGCCAGCAGGATCTCAGAAAAGAGGAAAGAACAAAGGAAAATGGACATGAGAGAAAGAGAAAGAGGAGAGGGAGAGAGGGAGAGAGCGAAAGAGAGCACAGGCGAGCACATAGGGGCGGCAGGGCTGTTGTGGGCGGCTAGGGCAGGAGGCAGGGGTGGTTCTGAAGGCCAGACCAGAACCATCACGAGGCCCAATCCCTGCCTCAGTCAAAAGCCGGGTGCCAGGCTGGAGATCGGCATCTCCTGAGTTCTCTACAGTGAGCAGTCTGAGTAATGGGTGTGATAAGACAAAGGGTGGGGACTCGCAATGCTCCTAGAGAACTAAGGCCCCTAGGAATTCAGGAACCAGACACTCACGAAGACCAGGGCATAAATCAGTCCTTTTATCTCTTTTGCCTCCATGCTTTGATGGTTCTCTTAATTTCCCTTTAATGTCTCGGTCTAACTCCTTTTGAAAATCCTGGCCCAGCTCCTCTGTGCAGAATGGAAAGAGACAAGGGACAGGGAAGCGGGGAGCCAGAGTCCCTGGGCGAGAGGATGGCAGCAGCTGCTTAGAGATCTGGCTGTGGCTGATCTAAGTCACCCCACCTGGACATGATGGAGGGCTGGGGTTGCTGCTGCTGGCTTATTTCAATTACTGCATCTCAGCGGCATGGTGTCACAGGACTACAGGACTCCTGGCCTTAAACATTGCCAAGACGCTTACCAGGTTTGCACAGGCCCCAGGCGAACTGTGACCTCCTCACGGAGCCCCTGGTGAGGTCTCCAAATGTGACTTAGTAGGGTAGCACCGTCCCATGGCTCTCTTGGCTCCCTGGTCTCAAGCCCCTTAGTACAAACCAAGCCCTCAACTGCTTCAGAAAGAACTGCAAAAAAAAATCTCAGTACTGATGAGGATGCTGAGGCATAGAGAGGGGGGCAGCAGCTGCCTTGATCACTTAGCCCCTTGATTCTGGAGCTGTCTCTGGATCCCCTACTGCACTGTGTCACTAAAAGGGACCACAAGGAGGGGTGGAGCCTTTGCCTCAGCCCAAGTAACTCAGGAGAAAAGGCTGCGGTGGATGGCGGCGGCGCTGCTTCCTGAATGGACGCAGGAAAAACAGCAGCATCTCCCTTCCCAGGTGCCAGACAATGGAATTGCGGCCAGACAGCCATTTGCTAAATCTGGATCAGACTGTCTTCTGTTAACCCTTCTGTGTCTAAGCACTCGGAGTGGGTCGTTCTCTGTCCCTCCTCCTTCAGGACTACTGGAGCCCAGCTGCACTGGGCTGAGAAGGGGGCAGGGTTTTCCTTGACTCTTGGTCTCAAGGATCAGGGTAGCAAAGGATCAGCAACCACCTGGGCAGGTGACGACACCTCTGACGCGCGCCACCTTCTTGCGCAACCCAGGGGTGGAGTTGCATAGGTCTTAGGTCATAAGGAAAGCAGGCAGAGGTCAGAGGGGAAAGAGACAGCTGGCTTCATGAGAGTAGGCTGCAGGCCACAGGAAGCAACACCATGGCAGAGGCGGGCACCAAGCCAGAAAAAAAAAAAAAAAAAAAGAAATCAGGAATTATGCCAGATGGCCAAAGGTTTGTGGGTCACGGAGAAATCAGGCCACAGTGGAGGGTGAAATCAGACTTCAGAACAGACCAACGTCATCTATGATTTGGAAGTAGAGGAGCTGCGCCTCCCATGCAAATCAGGCTGGGTCACCCCCACCTCACCCCCCTCCGCGCGCGCGCGCGCGGGGGCCCAGCCTCACTTGAGCTGCTGAGTAATGAGCTCCTCGTCATTGAGGTAGCGCAACCGCTCCTCCTCCACCAGGGTGCGCTGCCGCTGCAGCGGGTCCTCCTGCCGCCGCGCCGCCTCCGACACGCGCATGCTCAGCTCCGCCTCGGTGCGCTTCAGCAACGCGCGGACCGACTCCTGGTTCTGGAGCTGCGGGACGCAAGGAGGCCCTCGTGGGCAAGGATGCACGCGTGGACCGGGTGGGAGGAGGACGCACGTTGCTTGGGAAGGGCTGGCAGGGGGCAGCCCCGTGCAAGCAAAACTCCACAGAAAGACTGGGTAGCTGGGCGAGCTGCCGCGAAGATGTGGCAAGATAAAGACACAGGGGTCAAGGGCTGAGTTGGGGAGAAGCCAGCAGGAGATCCGGACCGAGGATGATAGGGCTCACGGAGAGGGCAAAGTTATTATGGGTTTGGCTCAAGTTATAGCAGCATGGCTGTGGCTGCGGCTGCGCGCAGCAGCGAAGGGTGGGACAGCCGGGAGCGGAGACCAAGATTATATTCTGGAGGAGTATAGGGGCAGGAGAACGGGATGAGAATTGGTGTGGCCAACGGGTGGCACTAGGTAGGACCCCGAGGACAGTGTGACTGTGCTACTATGGCCCCAAGTAGCCCTGAGTGGAGACAGAGCCTGGGGTGAAGGACTCACACCCTGTGGTTGGTAGGGTCTGCCGCTGTGGCTGGGACTGCAAGATGAAGGTCCAGTTCCGAGCCCAAAGGACGTGGGTGGGCGAGATCTTACCCGGGGCCCAGATGGCAGCTCTCTGCCTCCCCCTCTCAGCCTGTCTCTGCTCATTATCCTCACCTGACAAGCCCTGAGCCCCTCTAGAGGCGGCGGCACAGGGATGCCAGGCTCCTGACAGGTGGGACCATCTGCCAGGCAGGGCAGGACGGCCACTACAAGCTCAGGCAGGAGGAGCCGAGGGGACCTTGGGAATACTGATGCGGAGCCTGGAGGAGTTGGGGCAGCCTCAAGGGATGGCGCATGGGGGAGGGGTGGGCTCAGGGAGGGGGAGAAGGGGACTGAGGGTCAGTGAAGGGTCGAGGCTCGGTGAGTGGACCAAGATTTAATGAGGAAGTGGAAACTGGAAAGGGAAGAGAAGAAAGGGGCCTGAAGAAAGACCACTTAACCATGCGGGACTCCACCAGAGCTGGGTGGTGGGGGAAGGTGGGGCGGAGCTGGGGGAGAGGAGTTAGAGCCCCTAGGTGGGGGTGCGGTGGGGGTCGGTACCTGGAGCTTGCGCAGCTGCTGAAGCTGGCCGCGCAGGTCGCTGGCGCTGTTCTGTAGGCCACGCAAGTGCAGCTGCATCTGCAGGCGGCTGACCGCAGTGGGCTGCCCTGCAGGGGTGCTGCTGGCCGCGGGCGGGGGAGGGCCGGACACCGGAGTAGCCCCGCTGCTCCGACTACCCGATCCACACGCTGCTGAGAGGGACCAGAAGGATGAGCGAGTAAGGGAAGTGGAGCAAAAGGTGAGGGGAAGGAGCCATCCTCTCTCTTCCGGGCCCCACACCCAGGCAGAGAGGCACGTGGTTACGACCGTCCACCCGAAGTGGTGGCAAGTCCTAGCGCAATTAAAGTGCCTGGGCTAAGTAAGATGGCTGGCTACTCATTTATGTGTGGAAAGCCCCATGACGTAGCTAGTAGCCCGGTTTAAGGATTAGCAAACTAATCCTAAGACTCTGAGAGGAAGCGAAGGGTCACTCACGTGCTGAAGGGGTGGCTGCTCCATTGGAGCCTTCGATCTTCTCACTGTGACAGCAAGAAAAGAAAGTGGTCACGGGAGCTTGGGCTGGCCTCGGGCCATCAAAGCTGAGGGGCCTCAAATGTCACCCCAGCTCCCTGATCTTAGGAGAGGGCCACAGAAAAGGGAAGTCACTCGGAGTCACACAGTAGACACAGGCAGAACTGAGTCCAGAGCTTCTGATGTGGCTCACTGCCCTCATCCCTGCCGCAGGCCCAGGCCCTGACTGTGGTATTGGGGGGGGGGGCTCTCACCTTGGGGTCTCAGGCTCTGAGCCTCGCAGTAGGGCACTTTGCACCAGCCCCGTGAGGCTCGCGATCTGCTTTTCCATGGCCTCCATGCGCTCCCTGGGGAGGAAGGTGGCTCTGAGCAAGGGCTCCGGCGAGTTTGTGGCCCCACCCGCCCACTCCTAAGATTAGCAGCAGCCAGAGGGCAGCTCGTCTTCCCTTGGCGGCCACACAGAACAGGAACCCAGAGCCAAGGACCCAACTCCTAGCTCTCCACGGCCTCTCTCACCAGAGAGCACACTGACGCAGAAGGATTGGTGAGTTTGAGTGGCCTGGGCTACACGGCAAGACCCCCGTCTCAAGAACACAAAACATAAACACAAAAAGCCCAACTCCTGCCCGTCCCGAGCCTGCTCCAGTGAATTTCAGCGGGGCCCTGTGCTGGACAGCGCTCGCTGCAGCCTGGGCACAAAAAACAGCTGAGTCAGCACTCCATTTTCCCTCCCGGTAAACCGAGGCTTGCGGAATAAATACAAACTCGGGTCTCTACTGCCATCACTTGAGGCTTCACCCATCCATCCAGTGTCCATCCCGCCACACCGAAGACACTCTGGCTACCCGCTGTGACCTAAGTCCGGAGAGAACCTGCCCCCCCCCCCGCAGTGCCTCCTCCTTTGAGGTCCCCTCACCTGGTCTCTGTGTCCTTGGCTGGCACCGGCGGCCCAAACCCTACTAGGGAGCGCTCCCCAGGTCCAGGGAAGAGCTCAGAAGGCGGTGCTCCGGCCGTCGAGGCGCTGCCGGTGCTGCGGGCCTTGCCTCCGGGACTCTCGGCAAAGACCGACGAGGAGCCCGAGTCTTTGCGGAAGGACTGGCGCACGGGCGAGCCGCGGCTGGGCGGCCCCGAGTAGGGGCTGTGTGGGGGCGGGGGTCCCCCAGAGGGCGCCGACACATCGGCCAGCTTCTGCGGGGACGAAGGCGGCAGGCGGAAGCCGTAACCATCGCCGTAGAGCGGGCCGCCGGCGCCGGCCTTGTAGAGCGAGTCCTCCAGGTCGGACTGCAGCGCGGCGGCCGAGTAGGTGCTGAGCGAGCGCACCGAGCCCCGCTTGTACAAGCCGCCCGCGCCCGGGTAGGCGAACGGGTCCCCCGCCGCGGCGGCCAGGCTCAGGCGGCCCTCGTGCAGAAGCCCGTAGGGATCGGCGTAGAGGCCCTCGCCCTTCACCAGCACCATGCCGCCCGCCTTGCCCGCCAGGTCCTCGTCGGGCTTCACGTCGCGCCGCTCCAGGATGGCGCTGGGGCTGGGGCTCACGCCCTGGCTTGCCGGGGCGCCTCCCAGCCGCTCAGCCGCGTGGTGCACCGGACTGCCGGCGTAAGAGGGCGGGCGGCCCCCAGCGTAGGAGAGGCGTGAGCGCGAGGGCGAGCCCGACGGCAGTCCCGACGGCAACCCCGATGGGAGCCCTGGAGGTGGCGAGCTGGATGCGAGGTGCGATGCGGGCGACAGGTTGTTGAGGCGCCGCGTGGGCGACGACTCCCGCGACGCGTACACCATCTCTCTCTGCGCAGAAAACAGCCCGAAAAGCCCATGGAGCCGGTCACAAAGGGGATTTCTTTCGCCTTGTTTGAGGAGCCGGCACCTCACCTTCTCCCCGCAATCAGGCCTAGGAAGCCCCCTCTGTCCTGTCTCCTTCTGCCTCCTCGGCCCCTTGCCCATCAGTACTCCCAGCATGGGAGTAACCGGGCAGATGGAAAGACATCAGAAAAGCAGCCCTCAGCCCATCCTTGATGGGGACCAGGAAGGAGAAGAGAAAAAGGGGTCTCTGGGGGAGAGGCCTTGCAGTCTCTAACAGCCCTTTGGAGAAGTCTTGAATGGACAGTGAGGGAGGCCACAGGTGAGCAGTGGGGTGGAACTTCCCACAACCTCACAGCTATACCAGGACAAGCCTGTCTCAGCCCCTCAGTTCCCATCTCAGAAACTGTTCTAGCTCCATAGTCTGTCTAGATTTCACCTGCCCAATCTCACCAGTGCCCTGGGTGCTCCCAGACATACCCGGAGGTCCCCGTTGGTGAGGTGTGAGCCAGGAAAAGCTGCGTACAGTGGTTCCTTCCTATAGATCTTGATAATACTGCGGTCCTGGATATCCCTGTCAGGTAGAGAGGGGCAGAGGGTCACCATGCGCTCCCTCTCCCTAGCTGGCAGCAGCTACTTCAGGCAAACAAGAAGGCCCTGACACCCAACCCTTTCCTAAGCTCAGTGACTCCTGGTGCCTGGGGGGAGGGGTATCCCTGCCATCAGCAAGCAAGCACACGGCGGGGGGGGGGGCGCAGAGAGAGAGGAAGGGAGGGAGGGGGGTCTCCACCTGTCCACTGCCATGGCTTCCTGCCAGTGGGAACCCGCAGGACTGGACGATTTAGCAGAAAGGGCGGGGCGCTAGGGTTTCGGGAGAGGAGGCAAAGGGTGAAGAGAGGGTGCACAGTGATCTAGGGAAGGGGCACCAGAGGTCCAGCACTCTTCAGAGGAGATATGTGGGAAAATCTACCCAACCCCTGGGGCCTCGCCCACCGGACGTCCTCCAGCTCGTAGAAGATGTTCCGAGCTTCGTCTTTGATGAGGATGGCGGTGTTGGGCGACTTAAGCATGCCCATGGTGAGCTTCTGCGGGAACATGTGCGCGATGAGTGCGTGCAGCGTGTCCAGGCTGCTGACCTCATGCGTGATGTGTACGCGGCGCGTCTCCTCCCCAAACTGCAGGAACAGGACCCCTGCGAAGGAGACGCAGCCCTCACGGTCACTGCCTCCATCATCAGCCCGCCTGGCGCCAGGCGAGTGCGGTGAGCCCTCGGGAGCGGCATCAGTCCCACAGCGGCAAGGTCTGAGGCCGGAGGCTGCCCCCGAGTGCAAGTGCACCCACGCGCTCCTCATGGCGCCGGTTTGCGGCCCGCCTCTCCAAGCACCCACCGACCCCAGGCAGCTGGAGACGGGACGCGGAAATGGGGCTGGGGGCAGGAGCTGGTGGGGCAGAAAGTGAAGGAAAGTCGGGGAGATTGGAGAGGCTGGCGACAACGGCCGGAGGTGGGGGGGGTGTTGGGGGGGTTGGAAAAAGCCTAGTAGAAAGAGAAAAGGGCTGAATAGAGGGGAGGCTGAGAGAGCCTAAGGGCCAGCAAGGGTATGCTGAGGTCTAATAGAGGAGAAAGAAAGAGCGCCGAGGACAGCGAGGACTTCGAGGAGGTGACTGCCGCTAGAGGAGGGAATGGCAGGAGATGGGGTAGCAAAGGGCGGGAGGAGCCGGAGGGAGGGAGGAGCTGTGGCAGGGCCTGAAGGCGAGCAGGCTGGGCAGTACCTGGTGAGCGCAGCTTGGTCTGGCTGGCAGAGCGGGAGAGAGGCAAGCTCTGTCGGAAGCGGTTCATCCTGCTGAAGCCCAGGGGCAGCTCGGCCTCGGACATGGTCTCCAGCGACTCAGCCGAGGCGTAGGACAGCTTGGCTGCCTGGTCGGCCAGCCCTGGCTGGGCTCCCTGAGTATGGCGCGAGCTGCGTGTCTGCAGGGGCAGGGCAGGGCGAGAGGCACCAAGCATGAGCCCCCACCCCCACCCCCATGCCTCGCTCTGCCACTGCCTCCATCTGGGCCACAGAGCTCCAGCCAGCCAGCAACACACACACACACACACACACACACACATTCAGAGGAGGGTCTCCTGGGTTCCAGACTTGCTGGGTAGCTGCAGAAAAGATCCCCCAACTCTCGAAGGCCTTGGCTTCCCTGGGACACCCTGAAGTAGGCAGTGGGCGAAGGACTCAGGCACCCTGGGAAGCTGTACAAGAAACCATCTGAGTTGGACCCATGGGCACGCCTGCTATTTTAAGCTTCCAGCGAACAACAACAGCGTAAATTTGTCACCGAGGTGAGCAGCAGAATTGTTGAGCAAATTGGAGCATTAGTTCCAGACATTAATTAAGCGGCGGGTGTGTGAGCGGCGGATTTATTCTTCATGGAGCTGTGGGGGGAGGGCTTGGGAATGAGAGACCCCGGGCTTTCAGCACGGGGAGGTGTCCATGCCCAGAGTTCTTGACTTAGAGGATTTTGTAACTGGGGAGAGTCTCCCAAACCCTTGAGTCAACTGAACCACAATTGAAAGTAAACGGTACACTCGGTTTCCATGCAAAGCCAGGTGGGATATACAAGTGTGCTGTGCAGACTCCACCCCTCCTTGGGATACAAATACTGTCCCACAGCCTGGTTGGCCTCCCCTAGCAATGAGTATGACAGCCCCTTCCCTAAAGCTATAGCTAAAAGTGATCTAGAGCTGAGATTGGGAAGGATGTCACAGATAGCTCGGAGATCCCTAAGTTCAATTCCCAGTACCCCTTCCCTGAAATGAAGGCCTGGAGCTGTAGCTCAGGGGGAAGGATGCCACAAGACCTCCTGACCACCCCTCCCACCCACCACCCACCCACCCCACCCACCCTCCTCTCCTGGGAGGTGGTGTCTCTCCTTATTTCCATTGTCTTTCTAGATCTTACTTTTGGCTGTCACCCAGGGCCACAACCTCTGCCATGTGCCCCAGTTCCCACAATAAACCCAGCTTCTATATAGATGCTCCATGGTTTAGATTGTTATTATTATTATTAATTTGTTTTTGCTTGGTTTTGTTTGTTTTTCAAGACAGGCTTTCTCTGTGTAGCCCTGGCTGTCCTGGAACTCACTTTGTAGACCAGGCTGGCCTCAAACTCATAAAGATCCACCTGCCTCTGCCTCCTGAGTGGTGGGATCAAAGTCATGTACTGCCGTCACCACCACACCGAGTTTAAATTGTTATTACTATTATTATTTGGTTTTTTGAGACAAGGCTTCTCCATGTAGTTTTGGTTCCTGTCCTGGATCTTGCTCTGTGTAGACCTGGCTAGCCTCGAACTCACAGAGATCCACCTGCCTCTGCCTCCCGAGTGTTGGGCTTAAAGGTGTGCACCACCACCACCTGGCCTGTTATTATTTTTTGAGACAGAGTTTCACTGTGTAGCCCTGGCTACCTGGAATTGGCTAAGTAGACCAGGTTGGCATTGAACTCATAGAAAGATCTGCCTGCCTCTGCCTCCCAAGTGCTGGAATTAAAGGCATTCTTAACCATGCTCAGCTCTCATTTACATTATTTAAAGGAGTAAGATAATGAATCAAATCTATATCTTTCTGTGGTATGTGCATTATACATACAAATGTAAGCTTACTACCATGAGAAAAATTAAACATGTTGTCCAACTGTACTTAATAGTCTTATTTTCACAGGCAAGTATGTTGGTACATGCCTAAAATCCCAGCAGAGAAAAAGCTGAGGCAGGAGGATAGCCATGAGTTTGAGGCTACACTGGGCTACACTGTGAGACTGAGTCTGAAAACAAACTAACACAAATAAACTTATTTTTAGCACTTAGGTCACACAAATCACTTGGAACCATCAACACTGCAGTCTTAGGGCTGAGAAATCTCTTCCTTTCTTTATTTCTTTCCTGGTTTTTCAAGGGGTTATATATATTAGCTGTTCTGGAACTCACTCTGTAGCCCAGGCTGGCCTCAAACTCACAGAGATCAGCCTGCCTCTGCCTCCCAAGTTTTGGGATTAAGGGCGTGCGCCACCACTGCCTAGTTTAAGAGAGCTTTCTTTATTCATTTTATTCTTTTATGAAATCGAATTTTGAATAATTGGGATATATTACTTATACAATTAAAAAGACAATAGCAAAGGCATCTCTCTTATGTTTTCTGTTTTTGAAACAGCATCTCACTATGGAGCCATTACTGGCCCACCAAGTACCTGATATATAGGCCAGGCTGGTCTCAAACTTGTGACTATCCTCCTGTTTCTGCCTCCTGAGCGTGGGTTTACAGGCAAGACCACTTCTCCGAACAAACACCTCTAAAAAGGAATAATTTATTCTCCTGTCCAGTCCTTCTTCCCCCAAATCCTGATTATCCCTTAACTAATCTCTGCCTTCCTATTAAAGCCAGTTTAATGTTTCATCCAATTAGCACTCTTGGAAAGGGACAGCACAGTGGGAGAGCATCCTCCGACAAGCCGTGTGCCCAGCGGTCCTCGGAGAGGCCTTGAGAACTTGGGGCCATGGAAAATCAGACTTGGGGGCTTCGAGCCTCAAGCTCAATACCCTGACCGGCAGGGAGGAAACGGGTCTTGGGAGGAGGGAGGTGGTGTTATGAACCGGGCCCACTTGGGAGATCTTGTGTCCAGACTTCAGAGCCTAGGCTTCAGTTCTAGGCTGACCAACGGAGACAGAGGCCCCTCCCACCTTCATCCCCAGAGAAGCCGCGGCAGTGGGCAACCTACGCAGGCGTGAGGGAGTCTGCATCAAGCTGGTGGGCATGGGGTTGCCAGGCAACTGAAAGGTCAGTGGTTGCCAGGCTGGGGTCGATGAAAGGCGACAGAATGAAGCAGCTGGCAGAGATGAAGAATAGGGGTGGCCACTGGGTAGAATGGGGGACACAAACGAATGTCAGGAAGACGATGGGGTGAACTGCATGAAGAGGGCAGGACCCTGGGGACGGCTGGCCACAAATACAGGAACTCTAGGGAAAAGAGTCAGTCACATTCCTCCCTCTGCCTGTTCCTGCCTCCATCCCAACCATGGGCACCTTTCCAGTCTTTCTACTTTTACAGAAAACCCTAAACCGGCAGTGGTAGCACTCGGGAGGCACAGCCAGGTGGATCTCTGTGAGTTCGAGGCCAGCCTGGCCTACAGAGAAAGTTCCAGGACAGCCAGGGCTACACAGAGAAACCCTGTGGGGGTGGGGGGAGGACTCCAAGGAGAAGGAAACTCTATTAACGCTTCTGTCTGCTCCCTGGCCTCCACCAAGGCAGAGAAAATGAAACATCTAGAAACCACTAGCAGGCATGTCCAACTTTTGACATGGCGTCTACCAAATTCACAGTTGACAACTGAACAAAAGTTACAAAAAAAAAAAATCACAAAATAAATCTTATAACGTTTCACATAAGCTCATGATTTGGTGTTTGACCGCAATGACAGCCACATTTGGCTGCTGGTCACAGGTTAGGTGTCCCGGCTAAGGAGGGTGGTAAGGGAAGGAAACGGGAATTCAACCTGAACTTGAAGAGAGGACGGGGCTGCCCAGGGAGGCGTGAGCTCAGCCATTAGACCTGCGCCACCCAGGAGCGAATGAGACCTGGCCTGAGACCAGGCAGAAGGAGCCAGGGCTAGAACAGTGAAACCAAGGTCTGGGCTCCCAACAGCTCTCTACAGACTTGGGCAGAAGCACCAGAGAGGAGGATCCACAAACTCTCTTTCCAGGATTCACAGTCGCTTAATCATAATCTCTCTGAGTGGAAGCCTGGGCTCCAGACTTCCCATGGGAGCCTAAGGCGACTGGAGCACCCAGAGGCTGGCATCAGGTCGGCAGCCATGACTCTGATTCTGATGAAATCAGCTACCAGGTAAAGCTTGCTAACAGGACAAACTGCCTCAGACAGGCATTCTTCTCATCTCTTCAATCTTTCGACAACTCTGAATTAGCCCTGATGGCACGCACATGCCTGTGATCCAGCAATGCTGGAGGCTGAGGCAGGAGGACCACAAGCGAGGCCTGTCTGAACTACAGACGTAGCCTGGACAACTTAGTGACATCCTGCTCAAAATAAAAGGTGCTGGGTATGGTGGCGCACACCTTTAAAGCTAGCACTCAGGAGGCAGAGGCAGGTAGCTCTTTGTGAGTTTGAAGCCAGCCTGGCCTATATAGCCTGTTCCCGGCCAGTCAGGGAGACTTTATCTCAAAAGCAAGCAAAACAAACAAACAAAAACAATACCCCTGAAGAGCTGCATGCTCAAGAGCCTGGATTTAATCCCCACAAGGGGGGTGGGGGGACCCCTCTATGATGAAGACACTATTCACCTTCCAAAGGAGAATAAAGCCCAGAGGACTGTAAGTTACAGCTGGTCACTAAGCTAATTAGTATCAGGTTAGCATTCACCATCAGGCCATCAGACCCGCAGGCCCATGCATTAACCCTCTCCTTTCTCCTGCCCCATCCAGAGAGGCAGGCTGACAGGCAGATACAGGCTCCCATGATTCTCTGATTCAAAGGCTTCTTACAGAAAAGAAATTGTTTGCACCCAGGACACCTGGTCAGTCTGGGTGACAGCCTGCTACCCTCTCATAATGTCTGCGACTCCAGGGACCACAGATCCTCCTATATGATAAGCCACAGCAGACCTTGTCTCACCCAGCTCTGGGGGTGGGAGCCAAGGAAGATGGAGGGAGTGCCTAAGGGACACCATGGTATCCTGGGAGCTGGGAGAAAGAAAGCATTCCAGCTCTCAGTAATACAAACTGTTCAGAGGCAGTAAGAAGGCATCCATTCCCCAGACCTGGCCCCCAAGGTGAACAAGTTTAAGGGTACAGGGCAAGTGTGTTGCCTGGTCCTGACATGGTGGGAAGTAAGAAAGGCAGCCATGAGGACTTCCTTTGAGGGACAATGTGAATCTAGGGTCCAGGGCCCACAGGGAACTCATGCATTTGGGTTCCTGCCTCCGTCAGCTGACTCTCTAGGCTGAGAAGTGTCAGGTGCTCTTCTCACTCCTAGCAGGCTGGGAGAGCTGGAGACTTGAGCATCTCTAGACCAAACCTCCAGCAGAGGTGGCAAAACTCCCATTCTGGATCCATAAGCCCCTGGCAGACAAACCCAGACTCTCCCCCAAGCAGCAGCCATAGCCGGCAGCCCCAGGCCCACCGCCCACAAAGGAGGGGGCCCCCTGCAGACGCACACCCCAGTGCAAAGCATGTGCAAGGCAGAGGCGGGGGGAGGGAGTGGGGGGGGGGACAGGACATGCAGTGGTCACAGAGGCAGAAGCATCGCGCACTGACCTTGAAACTCCAGTAGTTTGGTTGCTGATGGGAATAAGAGAAGAGATGGTTATGAGGGGGCTACCAGGGAAGCTGGCGCAGGGACAGGACAGAGATCTGCAGTACACAACCCTGGGTCATGGGCCTCCACCCTCTGGGGAACAGACTGTAGGCAATGCCTATGCCTCTCAATTCTCTCCCGAGGCTGGAACATTCCGGTTCACCAAGGATGGGCAGGTTCCGGGTCTGCTGGTGGGGGAGCAGGATGGAACATTCCAGATGTTTTAAGTGTCTTTCTAGCCATAGTAACTGACCTCAGAGAGAGCTACCGGTAAAGGAAAAGCAAAGATGACTGTGAGGCAGCCAAAGACTCTCGGGGAGGGCAGTGAGAAGTCTGGGCGGCGGGATCTGAGAGGTGGCGGCACTTGGTGCGGGAGGCCAGGTAAAATGTCCCAGAAAAGATGGCATTCCAGCTTGGTCAGGAAAGCGAAGGGCTGGAGATGGGGGAGAGGTGTGGTGAGCAGACCCACATAAGGCTTCAGGAGGTGCCCTGGAACAGGCAGGGGGACTGGGAAGGAGCAGATGGAGGTGAGGGGTCAAAGGCGGGGGGCAGACACTGGGCAGTCTGCAATGGGAGCTGCAGCTACAGATCAAAGTACAGAAAACAGAGGAATGAGTCCGTGCAAAGAGAACGGGACTCCAGTAGAGCTAAGGACAGGGAGTAGATGGTGGCAGCTGGGACCAAGGCCAGGGTAGGCAGGCCTGTGTGCCAGGATGTGCAAGGATTGTGGAGAAAAGTGGACCATTGCCAGTGACCTCTGGCACTGGGCAGTGGCTGGGGAGCCCGGGGCAGCACTTGGAGCTACGCAGACAGCAGAGAAATTGTAAGGGGGCCCTGAAGCTTCTCCTCACTCCCGGCAACCCAGGGTCGCCCTGCCCTCCCTAGAGACCGGAAGGTCCTTCCAGATGGTTAGTAACAAGGAAAGGACAGCCCTGAGGGCGGGCTGGTTCTTGGCAAAGCAGAGGGTACCCTGCTGACCGGTGCCAGCCTCAGCAGGAGGACAGATCCAGCAGATGGCCTGGTCCCAGGGTGCCTGGCAGGAGCAGACAAGATTCCCCAGGCCTCAGAGCCAATGGCAGAGGCGAGGGACCTGGAGGCTTCCCGCTGGGAGGACACCATGCTGTGGTGCCCTGTGCCCCCTGGATGTGTTGGGAGCAGGGAGGAGCTGGGACGGGCCTGAGGATGGCTACTGCTGGGTACAGATTTCCTAGTGATGCCAACCTGGATCTGGACTCAAGTTTGTCTGCCACCACACTGCACGCATACCTGATCCACAATCCCTCTCTCTCCCAAATTACTGGCTCCAAAAGATGAAAAATAGCCCCACATTTCAGGTAGGAAAAGGGGTCAGCAAAGGCTGTATGGACACAGGGATGCCCTCAGATACCACAGGAAGGGGCAAGGCTTAAAGACTCGAGCCACAGCTTCTGTGACCTTGGACAGAAGGGGAGGCATGGAGAGTAGACTCAACGGAGACATCAGAGCCGGGCTGAGGACTTGGAGAGGTTTATGTTGAAAGTCAAGTCTGCAGACCAGAAATGATGGACGGCTCTGCAGAGAAAGCCTCATACTCCCTACACACCCCACAGTGGGTACAAGAGCCATCCACATTGTTCCCGCCAGGAGCTGGTAGACTCAGACACATCCTTGGGTAGACAAGGATGTCACAAACATGCCCAGAACAACAAACACACCCACCAAGGTGCACAGCACTAAGGGAAGCCACGAGAAATGGCCCCAGGAACACACAGCAACTCAGAGACATCCACACTGAGACCCGATTCAGACCCACATGTACTTCCAAAAACCCTAGCTAGCACTATGCCCAAAGACACAGAGGGTCTAAGACCAGTCACACCCCCCTCAGCATACCACAGAGCCACAGAGGCAAGGACACCCATTCACACACATACACAAATTCTAGCTGCAGAAATAAACACAAAACAGTACATGAGGGCCAGCAATACAGCTCAGTGGGGGCTTGCAGCCAAGCCTGATGATCTGAGTTCGATGCCTGGAGCCCACATGGTGGATTGAGAGAACCAAATCCCCTATGCTGTCCTCTGACTTCCACACACATATACCATGGCAATCAGACCCCCCCCCCCCCATACACACATACTAAGTTTAATTTTTTAACATCAGAGCAATGTATGGAGTACACAGAGACTCAGAGAAAACATCCTTTCTCTGCTCCCCTCTACGAGCAGGGTCAGGACATTTGTGGTACCTTTAGCTTCATTGGCTATGATGGCCCCATCATTGTGAGTCAGGGAGTTGATTTCCTGAACCGAGAGCAATAAAAGTTGTCCCATCCTGAATTCGGTCACCTGTCTCAGCACAAGGGACTCAGATGACTGAGGTCCAACTGGTGTTCCTAGGAGATGGGCAGGCCAGACCTGGCTAGAGCCACACTGACTAGGCCCCACTGTGGACTCCACGCTTGTACACACCCACTGGGCAGTAGCTGGAAGACTTGGGTCACAAACAGGCCCAAGGGAGATGACAGGGTGGTGGTACCAGTGTTTGGGAAAGATCGTGCTAGCTCTGGGAAGGGTACAAATGGAAGAGAAGCCATGTTTGTGTTTGGGGGACTTGGATGGATTCATGACACTGCCATTCAGCCCTGTAACTTGCAGCTCTGCGTGCCAGAGCCTTCTCAAGCAAGCCCCGCCTCCTTCCATGGTCCTCTCTTCAAATGGGGAAGAGGGATCCTTTCAGCTGGTCCCAGCAGGTTCCAGGTACATGGTCTCCCAGCAACTCTCTGTCCTGGTAGGGGAAAATTGCAGCGGGAAGAAGTCCCTGGGGAGATGGGCCATCATCCACCCTTCCAGGCGTTAACCCATGGGGCCTTCCCTGAAGATGGAACGCAGAGGCTCCTCCTCTGCTGTGGAGGAGGGACACCTCTGGTCCCTACCCTGACCCCCTTCCTAGTTGTAGATTCCTCGGCCTGTGCCCAGCACAGTACCTGGTATGTAGCAATACCCTCGACAAATCTGTGGCAATGAATAAATAAATGCCAATCAAGCAAACCAGGCAAGGCCAGCAGGCAGGGGGTAGTTCTTAATACTAGGCCTGGCCCCGGCTGTTCTGAGCCTCCCCCACCCACCCACCCCCGAGAATGACACGGGTCTAAAAAACCCTGAAAGAATGAATGGCAGGGAGCTGAGCATAGTGGTCCACGCCTTTAATCCCAGCACAGAGGCAGGCGGATCGCTGAGAGTTCGAGGCCAGCCTGGTCTACCCGGAGAGTTCCAAGACTGCCAGAGCTACATAATAGAGAGACCCTGTCTCTAAATAAATAAATAGATAGATAAATTAATAAATAAGGCAGAGACAGAAGGGACCCAGGGTCCCTCTTCCCTTCACTCAACAAAAACATCACCAAAACCAAAACATCTCGAGGACGTGCAGGGAGGTCTAGCCTCCCCAGAACTCAGGGACCGGGGAAGTAGAGCTACATTGGAAGAGAGACTAGCGGGACCGGCGCGGGTGGTGAAGGCTTGCCGGGGGTGAGGCAAAAACAGGAGCCAACCATCCCCCAGGACCAAGCTCTCAGCCGTGGGGGAGGGCACTTCCCCCAGGGAGCCCAGGAAGTAAGCTAACTCCCCTAGAGTGGAGGAAACAGCTTTTTCCCTCCAGGGCTGAGGAGTTAACCTCACCTCTCCAGGAGTTAGTCTTGGGATTCGTCTCTTCCCCTACAGCGGGGCCTCCTCCGCCCACTCCAGCCCTTGAGGGGCGGGACGGATCCCCACGGGCACCTTACCTCAGCTCCTTCCCCTTCCCCTGGGCAGACCTCCTAGGGTAGGCTAGGTGTCCGCGTGACCCCTCCTTGACCTCAGGCCCCAAAGGAGCATCCTCCAGAGAGGAAGGCAACCCACGAGTCGCACCCCCTTCCTTGATCCCCAGACTGACGCACACACCCACCTCCCAACTCCTGCAAATCCAAGTCCACGGAAACGCCAGCTCCCAGCCTAGGGCTCCGCCACGGGCCCGGGTGGCCGCCAGCCTGCAGCCGCCACGCCGCACACGGCCCTCCCCTAGGGGTCTGCAGCGACACCAGCGGTTCGCAGCCCTGCGGAGGCTGAGTGTACGAGAAGGGGGTGCGCTGCGGGAGCCGCACGGCGCCCTGGGCCGGGGCGCACCCAGGGAAGGTCATGACTTTCCGAGGTTGGGGGAGGGGGCGCCTGCCGCATTTGGGGGAGGGGGCCGACCCACGTGGAAGGCACCTGCTGCGGTGGGGAAAGGGAGGGGGCGTTTCTCCGAGATCCGAAGGGAACTCGCTGCAGCCGCACGCCCCGCACCCCTAGACCAGTCCTCCGAACCGTGGATCGGGACTCGATCTCCAGGTCCCCGCCCCCCCCCCACTCCTCCGAACCCCACTCGGCTACCGAGTCCCCACAGCCGCTCGCCCTTACCTGCGGCCACAGGTGCACGCGCGCGCGGAGCCCGGTCCCGCGTCG